GCACCTCTATTCCTCTGAAAGAAACAAACGAAATACCACTTCAAACATCTGCAGAGGATTTGCAAAGAGCTTCTCTTCAAAAGTTCCCTCTTGAAACTCTTCAAGAGGATCCAAAGGATACTCAAACTGAAGGAGAGAAAGCTGATTCTGGCCAAAGAGACGAAGAATCTGCAGACGAAGAGTCTGAGGAGGAGGATGCTAATGATGGTTCGACTGCTGGGACGGAGTCCAACGCAAATAGCAGTGAAAGGGAAGGCATCGAAGTGGTGGACTTGGATGATGATGAAGAAGATCATGAGCACGAAACGAATGAAGGGGATGGTGATGCAACCAACGAACCCATGGAGGTTGAAATGCACGTGACTCCCCTACGTGTGGAACTCCCTCAATCCTCTTTGTCTCGAATGATTGACGAGGAGCTTGCACTTCTGAGACGAAATGACCCTATTGGGTACATGAAGGCAAAGCTGGCTCAAAGGGACATCCCACTTGCTAGGGTTGGCACAAGTTCGACCAGCTATCCTCTTCCCACAGATGAAAGAATTGTACTTCTTAATAAGATTAGGAAAACAATTCTCAATGTGGATATATTCGAAGTGCTCAAACAAGATAGTGCTGCTTGCTATACTATGAAGGAGCTGCTCACAAAGGTCAATCTTGCTAACTGCTCCTTGCCAGTTAGTACTCTCTTGTTCGATCTTCAGGCTTTGCTGGACAACGTAACTGGTTACCTTCTCCAAGATGAATCTGCTGCCATGAAGGTTCAAGAAAAATGCATTGCAATGGATGCTGCTTATGAACAAGCTTCGAAACTCTCTCAAGAAGCTGAGGATCAAGCTATGCATCTAAAGCAGGCGAAAACTGATTATGAGGCTCGAGCTGAGTCCATACTTCTTTGGGAAAGGCAGATTCTGGAACTTCAACAGAAGGTTAAGGAGGCTAAAGAACAACAAATAGCCTTCGAAACCAATACTGCTGGTAACCAATTCGAAGAGCTTCTCAACCAGGGGCTTGCAGAAATGGAAACTGCAGAACAACTTAAAGGAGAAGTGGAAACCTTGGAAGGAGCCAGGCGTTTCACTCAGCAGAGGCTTGAATCATTTCAAAGATAAGGATGAATTTATGAAAGTACCAAATTCTGACCTAAATGTTTCAGCAAGTTCAAACTCAAAATTCTCCATGCTCAAGCAACATAAATGAAATCTATGGACATGTATAATTCCAGGGCAATGATATCTACATTCTATCTTCACAAATGCAAGATTAACAATACCTAAATAATGAGATAGAAGTTCAAGAAAAATACCTCCAAACTGGAAATCGTGAAATGAGTTTGAGCTTGTTTCAAGTGATGGTGATGATCAGGTTAGCTTCCTTGAACCTCTAGGAAGCTAATGCAATGCTTACTTGATGTTGGGAGTACTTGAATCGTGCTAGAGAAGTCAAGATGCAAGCTCTGTTTTTTGGTTATGGAAGTTGATGAAGATGGTGTTACAGTTGGATAAAAAGTGTTGGGATTGTTTATGTATGATGTTTAGAAGCTTTTGGAAGCAAAAGGCCAAGAAACACACGAGTGGTTTTTGATTTTGGGATTTCTGGCCAGAATATGCAACAATGGAGGTTTGTTATACAAATCTGACTTTGGAAGTGTTTGAGAGCTTGTGCATTCGTTTCTTTGTTTGAAAATAACTTGTGCATATGTATGGAAAAGGTTCTAGCACTTGAGAGGGTCAGAAGCACAAGATATAGACTTATGGCTATGTTACTTGATTTTGAAGAAAAGTGGAAATATGGTTTCAAGGCATAGTACAAGCATGGCCTGAGTTTATGGGAGGCTCTAGACATGTTGCTTTTTCCTTTGACATTGCTTGTGATCATAAGTAAACAAGTGCAAAGCTTTATGCATTGACTTTGTGATTAAAGCCTCTTTACAAGAATGAAATGGTTACTTTGTGCCATAAATGGAAATGCAACTTGGATAATGGCTCAAATGCTTGGATCAAAGCTCTAACAGCTGTGTAAACATTTAATTATGGAGTGACAAACAAGTTTGAGGCCTGTAAAGCAAAGATTATACAGCCTAGCTATGAATTGGTCAAGTGTTCATCACAAATTCTGCCTTGTAAATCAAAAATAAAACCCTAACTTCATCTCTTCGATTCTCTTAGCTCAAGCATGATCTCAATGAGTTCTTGGACATTTTGGAAAGATTGTAACATCCTCTACAACCTTTATGTTGAACATTTTTGAAAATTCCTATTGAAACTATGTGAAAATTTTCCATGAAGTTAGGTCAAAATTCTGCCTAAACTAGGGTAAAATTTCACTAAGTTTCCAAGTTTCATGAACATGTATTCACAAAATCATAACTTGAAATCCATGCATTTCTAGGAGAAGTTGTGTTATACAATGTTTTAGATCTCATTGAGGTATAAAACTTTCATGTTTAAAGTTTACTTTGAATCATTTTGTATCATGGTAAAAAAATGGCTCAAAGTTGTGAAAAAATATGAAGTTTCCAACACTTAAAAAAACTTCTAAGTTTAGAAATTTTGACTTTTCAAAATGAAATCTTGACTTTTGATTTCTTGATGAACAAGTTTCATGTTTTCACATGTTTTGATGAATTGTGATCTTTGACACTTGATTTTGACCAAAAGTCAAAGTTTGACTTTTCAGTGTGCAGTTGACTTTTGATCAGTTGACTGAAAATCAACTATCAATCAATTGATCTTGAGCAACGTTTTGAGTCATACCATTAGTTCAAAATTATGCAATTGAATCCTTGATATCATGTCTCTAACCAATCAACCATTTGCTAGGTCAAAAATCAGAAATGGCCATTTCTCAATCAAAACCCTAATTTTGACCATTTTGCCCTTTTGATTATCTGATCAAATTTCTTGAGGAATTATGGTCCAAACTTGATCAAATGACATATATGAGTTCATAATGTTGATATGGGTCCAAAATTATGAAGTTTGACTGTAAATTGACCACATTTGACTTTTTCCCCAATACAGTTGATTTTTAGGTCAACTGGTCAATTGACTGAGCAAAAATGTGATCCAAGACTTGAAACTTGACATGAGCAATCTTGAGGGTCCATAATGATCCATGAAAGTCATATGGGGAATTAAAAGTTCAATTATCCTTTTGCAATCTTAAACCCTAATTTTCAGTCATCAGTGCTTGAGGAGGTGTCTTGAGTTGATCAACCCTAGTGCAGTCTTAAACCAAAGGAGATCTTGTGAGAGATTACTTGATAAATGAGAGAGAAAATTTTGGGGTACAACAGCTAGGTTCTTCCTATATATTATCTTAGACTCTGAGATCGCCCATTGGCTAGGTTCTTCCAATAGATCATCTTAGAACCTGAGATCGCCCGTTGGCTAGGTTATTCTTATAGATCATCTTAGAACCTGAGATCGTCTGTTGGCTAGGTTCTTCCTATAAATCATCTTAGAACCTGAGATCGCTCGTTGACTAGGTTCTTCCTATATATCATATTAGAACCTGAGATCTCCCGTAGGCTAAGTTCTCTTTAATGATCATCTTAGAACCTGAGATCACCCGTAGGCTGGGTTCTCCATATAGATCTTATTTTAGAATTTTGAGGTCGCCCATAGGCCTAGTCCCCTGACAGATCGCTCTCATGTTTCACCTTAGGATCGTAGGTCGCCCGTAGATCTTATCCACCGTCTTTTCATACCAACCTTTGTCTTATATTGGCATCACGCCACGTTACGAGTCCAATATCCGTCTTGTATTAGCATCGTCGCTATATTAAAAGTTACCCTTAAATATTTCTCACCAGAAAAACAGAATTCTTCCCCCAACAAATATCACAAAATTAAATAAACACTCACATTTTCTTTCAGAACAAATTTTTGGCATTGGTATTTAATCATCTTCTACCTCGAACATTCAAAAGGCACGCGGAAATCGTACTTTCAGGTTTAAGACGATTAAATAAGGACAGCTGTAATACTCAAAATTTGTCCTACCCTTTTATTTTTATCTAGCTTATGCATTTTTCATTTTTCTCATGTACATAACTCCCATTAGGTCATTTTGCACGTCATGCATCATTGGTCAATAATTTGGCATGGGATCGATGATATTATGGAATTAGGGTTGATGTATGGCTTTAAGACTCTCATCTTCGCACAAGCTTGTTTCAATTGATTTCTCCAACAATCATTTGTTAGAAGCTAGGATTTTATTTCATGGAATTTTTTATCATCAAGCTATGGGGCTATTCTCTTCTTCTCAATATCAAGTTGCAAGGCTTCTTTCTTCAAGGCATAAGAATTAGGGTTTTCATCTATTATGCTTCAACTGGGGATCATTGGATTAGGGTTCGATCTTATGGTTATCTTGAGCCTCTCTCCTTTAACATTGTAGACTTGTTTTGAATGATACAACTTTTTGGTTCTCATCAAATACTTGTTACTTCAATTGCAAGTTAACTTGGATTATTGAGACAACTGATTATTGGTTTGGATTCATTGAAATTTCTAATCATGCTCGGATTTAATATTGATTCAAGGCATTCATATACAAACAAGGGAATTCATGTGTTTTACATAACTATCATAGTTCATTTAAACTCCTTCATGGTCCAAGTTGTAACACAAGATTCAAAACAAATTTCAAAGTCCATCGTAAGCTTGATATGGTTTTCATACCGTGGTTCATTCTAGTTTGCAAAGTGGAGATAAAGCTTGAAATTTCAAACAGTGCAAATGGGGGGAAACAGAGAAATACTTCATTACTTGAGTTGGAATCTATACAAAAACTAATCCCATATTACATTTTCATATGCCATCAATATGATACAAAATCAAAAGAAGAAGTTTGTTTTAGATTGGAATTTATCATTGAATTTAAGGTTACATGGTCATTAAACTTCAATTCCATTATTGCATCACAAATACATTATAAAAGGAATTCATATAAAAAATGTTTATACTTTCTACCAAAAATTTATATAATGTCTAATGCTTAATCATGTTGTTCCTTATTCTAAGCTTCATCATAGCCTTAAAATTCTTGCCATTACTCCATGATTCTGCCTTCAATGTCATGCCTTTGTCAAGCTCGCTCAAGCCTTCATTCAATTTGTTGTCCTGTTCACAACAAATACAAAAAGAAACCAGTTCAGCCCTTCAAAACAGTCCACAAAACCAATTTCAGATCAACCAAGACTTACCATGCATCAAGCTAACTCGCGGTTGCTATAAACACCTAGGCCAGTTCCATAAAATAACCCAAAATCCATATGATAAACCATACACACATTTTGTCACCAAATTCAAAAAAACTGAAATGAGGTAATCAAATCATAAATCGAAAATAGAATAAACAAAAAGAGTGAAAACAACTCAACCAGTATTTCCTAACCGATTGAAGTTTCAAATCTAACCATTGATTATTCTAACCAACTAGCAGAATCAAGGGCTTGGATGGGATCGAGCGTAACTAACTTTTCTCCATTCTGAAACAACTATAACAGAAACAACAAAACAGAAAACAAATTTCTATAACTAAGTGGCAAAACAGATCCAAACTAACTTTCTAACCCGTAACTGTTTCCAACTAATTTCCTAACAAATTCATAACGGAAACCGTTTTCTAATAGATTACAATAGAATTCAGAAGAAAGAGAAAGGGGTACGATTCATTTATAACAGGAAAAATAGAGGAAATCAGATATAAAAAACTCACCAAGAAAAACTCTCTGCTCTCTCTTTCTCTTCAATCACCTTCATCATTCACGATATTCATCATCATCATTTGCGAATCTTCGTGGAACTTGCAATATTTCGGCACCGCATCTTCATCTTCGATATCAACCTTCTGTTTCAATCCGTAACATTCCCTGTTACTCCAATCTTCAATATCCATCATCTTCATCGCGACATCAATCATTGTAACAACAACAGATTCAAACCCCAATTCTTCACGAACATCATCATGAATCGTCATTCTTCAACATTAACTTCCCTGCTCCGCCTCCATAATCAAGCACTTCTCTGTATCTTCAATCATCATCATAAATGTGTTGCTCGTAACGATAATCAATCAGCAACCAACGAGAATGCCATAATCACACAGAAGATAATCGTAACTCAGACATCACAAAAGAAGTTCGAATCGGAAGAAAAAGAAGAAAGAATATAAGAAGAAGAAGGAGCAAACATACCTAAAGATTATCGGTTGTCTCAATGTTTCTCTCTGTTTGAAGAGTTGTCGGTGGTACGCCGGTTTGGTAAGTCATGATTCTTCATCTCTTTATCTTTCTCTTTATGAGCGTGTAGAGGACGATATAATCAAGTTCTGAAGCTACAATTCGGCATCTAATTTCATCTCTACATATGAGGATTTCAAAGTTTTGTTGTTGAAAGAGGAACAATTGGGAGAATCAGAGATTGGGCGGAGGAGAGGAGCGTCGTTCGCCGAAAAGAGAGGAAGGTGTTGAGTCCTCGTGAAGCTCAAAGAAAAATGATAAAATGAATTTGATGGTGATTGGTGTTGGCCACGGTGCGTTTCGCCGGAGAAGACGAGAAACGAATCTTGTGCGACGCTGAGAAAGAGAGAGGAGGGAAGATTTGTATGAGAAGCTGAAGGGGCATGTGAAAAACCCTAATTCCCTTCTAAATAATATTTCATCATTTTATTTATTTATTTATTTAAATTTTCAATTCAATGGTAAATAAGAAATTTGATCAGATTATTGATAATGTTGAGTTTAACTGGGCCAAAGATCCTTTAGGCCCACGTTAATTGTGTTTTTGGTACAACATGGATTCATACACAAAAAGATCTTCTTGGACTCGTTCTGCATTGGACTCAGCACCAATTTGCTTCAGCACACATGTTTCCAGACTCGCACCCCCTAACTCTTCTAACTTCTTTTTTTATTATTTCAGTTTTTTATTCTAGTTTAATTTTTCTCTTAATTGATAATAAAAATGATACAAAAATATTAGAATATTTTAGAATTTTTAAGTTTTCTCTTTAGAATTTTATTAGAATCTCTATTATTGTTTTTATGTTTGGTAATAATTTTTGTTGTCATTTTTAGTTTAGATTTTGTGATAGGATGTTGATGTAACTTACGCGATATGGAATGCTTGGAGATTAGTTCGTTTGATCACTTGTGTGAAGCGTCTTCTATAGAGTTTTCTTATCGCTTGCGTGATTTTTGAAAAGGCAACGGACATTCTCCGTTAGGTATCATCGTGGATTCACTTTTATTCCTCATTTCCGCACTTTGCCGCTTTTCTAGAGGTCACGAGAAGTAGGACTTTACTGCTTTCTGATGCCATGAGAAGAATGGTAGAGATGTATGACGGGAATTTCCGTTGCTGGTCATGTCAGAATTTTCTCTGGTTTATTTAAAGACTCGTTTAAGACAATTCCGCATTGTGTGCTTTCTGTGTGCTATCTGTGTTTATTTAAAATCATACCTTTGAAGTAGGTATTCCGCACGTGTGTTTATATTTGTGTCTGCATATGTACAGATGATAAGTCCTCAAAAAGAGGCGAGCGAAGAGAGTTCGCAATCAACCCCCGTAATTTTGTTTGTGTCATTCTTAGCTAGTAAAACACCACGATGCTTCAGAGTTGTGCCTGCTCTTGTGTATCGAGTCCGTCGAGTGTAGAAGACTTTTGCAATCAAACCCCCACGTTTTGTCAGGAGTTCGCATTGATCGATGTTGATACTCCGTGATTGTTCATATTGTCTTCTGTTGTCTACCTCAATTCCTGATATCTTGGTTAGGTGTTCAGTCGCTTTGGACATCACATTTTTGTTTTACATTTCACTCCCGCTTGTTTGTCTCGGGTGATACACTCCCCTTGGCTAAAACATTTCGCTTCTTTTCTTTACCATTTTATGTGTGTGTTTTCTCGAGCTTGCTTGTTTACTCGCTTTCCTTACCATGTTCCCTTAGGATGCACTTGTTCCTTTCAGATGCAAGTTAGACCTTAAATTGCAAATCATGCATGCTAACATTAGGTAGAGATTTCACTTTCATCCCTGACGTAGGGCTACCATTGTATGACAACATTAGAATTAAAAATAGGCTAGTCTTTTGTAGACTCTTTTCTTCCCCCTTTTTGCATATGCATCTAAGACTAAAACTTTTTCTTAGCAAATCACAAAATATTTTAATCACACTTAAACCTTTTTTCAAGGTAACAAAACACAAACCAAGCAAATGTGATATCTTGCCTTGAGGGCGTAACTCAAAACCATTTTCAGTAAGGACATGATTAATTTATTTATGTGCCAACGCGTGAGTCTCTAAAGATCAAGCTGCGGCAGAAGGAAGAATTAACATTGTTCATAAAAAATACAAACAAACAAAAACATGTAAGTTGAACCACGGTAACTCTGATTTCTCAAAAAGGATACATAAGTGTTGTACCCCAAAATTTTCCCTCCCATTTCCTCAACATTTTCTCATCACAAGACCTTTGAAGATCAAGACCCAGTTAGGGTTTCCTCTGCTCGAGACTTCTCCTTGCATTGTGGACTCAAATTAGGGTTTGTGTTTGCCCAAGGATGTTTTGACCTAAAATGCCTAAGATGACTTTCATGTTTCATGTTTGACTCACAAGATTATCCATACCAAGTTTCAAATCTTGATTCCAAGTTTTGCCCAGTCAATTGGACAGTTGACCTAGAAATCAGCTGTATTGGGGAAAAAGTTAACTGTGGTCAATTGACAGTCAAAACTCATGATTTTTGACCCACATCAACATTATGAACTCATATGGACCATTTGATCAAGTTTGGATCACAATTCCACAAGAAATTTGATCAGATCACCAAAAGGGCAAAATGGTCATTTTTAGGGTTTTGACTGCACAAAGGCAATTTTTGACTGTTTGACCTAACCAATGGCAAACCAATCTCACATATGGACTCAAGGACTCAATGAAATGGTCTTGACACATTCATCAAGCTCAAAAGATCCCAAGTACACAAGATTGACAGTTGAATTTCCCAGTCAATTGATCAATTTTGACTGTACACTGAAAAGTCAAACTTTGACCTTTTGGTCAAAATCAAGAGTCAAGATTCATTTTTCATCAAAACATGCCAAATCATGAAACTTGTTCACCAAGAAACCAAGAAATGCAAATTAGGGTTTTAAAATGGAATTTTTCATAACTTAGAATTTTTCTAAGTTATGGAAAACCCTAATTTTTTCCCAACTTTGCCCCACTTTTTCACCATGATTCATTTGGATTCTAACAAAAGTCAAAACATGAAAGTTGTAGCTTGTTACATAATCTACAACTTTGATTCACAAAGTTTTCTCATTTGAAGCTTGTATCTCAAGTTACAATTTTTTGAATAAGGGCACTAAACCATTTTTTAACTTAGTGAAATTTGACCTATTTTGACAAGGTTTTCTACCCCACTTCAAGGCCATTTTCCATACCCTTCCACTTGGAATTCCAATTTGCATTTCAAATATGGATTGTAGTACACATTCCAAGCTTTCCAAAATGTCCAAGAACTTCTCAAACAACCTCATGGTTAGGGAGAATCGAATTTCACAATATAGCAAAAAAACACTTTGTTCATGACCAAGTTACATGTTCATAAACTTGCAATTTGAACTCAGCATGCTTTAGATTAGATTACAGGTCCTTAAACCAAGTTGCACTCAATAATTTAATGCTTATTCTTTGTGCCAAGACCATGTTCTTTGTGTTCTAGCATTGCATAGTGGATTAATCCCAAACTAGATAAAGCATTCTTTCCATTTTTGAAAAAGATCACTTTATGTCAAATTGAAATCCAAGCAAGTACAGTTAGGATCTCATTGGCACAAGTTTAGGAGCTAATTGCACTGATCAAGACAAGGGTTTGCAGCTTGTTATGGGGGCCTGCATCAGTCAAAAACACCAACTTGCATTTCTTTGCTTCACATAGAAGGAACATAGCATAACTTGTGGTTTCTTCCATCTCAGCTCACAACACAAGAACAAAAGTTATCAAACACAATCCAAAGAACATATCCAAGCTTTTGCACGAGCCTTTGACCTCCAATCCACCCTCCATCTCAGAATCACTCTCAAACTGCAAAAATAGAGTTGCCTCTGCAGTTTGAGTACCAACTTCCATTTCTCTCGAGCATTCTTGTCAAAACCAGTTCATACACATCCCCTAGCATCTATTCAAGCTAACCATGACCTGAAACCTGACCTGTAATCCCTCTAAGCCACTTCACCATTTTTGTTTTTCTGTTTTGCAGTTGGAGTTCACTAGCACGATTCAAGGAGTTTCAAGACAAAGTAGGACTTGGAAAAGCATCCTTACACTTCAAGGAAGCTATACAAATCATCATTTTACTCTGAAACATCCTCCATTGCAAAGCACGATTCCAACTGAACAGGTACATTCATGAAGTTCTATCTCTCTTATTAGGCATTGTTAGCTTTAGGTTTGTGAAGAAAATATGTCACAATCATAGCCCTGAACATGCCCATATAGTTAGGTTTCATTTATGTTATGTGTGCTGCAAGAATTTTGAGTCTGAACATGGCATAAAAATTAGGTCAGAAATTGGGGGAGAAGAAATTCTCCCTCATCTTAGAGAGTTAGGTCAAGTTCTATACATGGTTAGAATCGTCTCTTCATGCTGAATATTTGTTATGTTATGAGTTTTTGCTAAAAAGCCAGGAATCAAGAGTTGGAAGATGATGAACATGGCGCGCGTTTTTTCAAATATTGTTGCTGGAGGTTGAAGACAGTGGTCTTTGGGCTGGGCTTGTGTGTTTTTTCTTATTTGCACCACTATTTTGCTTTTACACCCCCAAGGCCCATTTGCTGATTCCTTTGACTTTTTTGACTTTTTCTTTTTTGATTGACTTTGTTTATTTTTTCTCATGACATTAAAAAAATAAAAATATTTTTTCCATCATTTTTTGAATTTACTGCATATTTATTTGATTATTTCTTTTGA